TTCCTTCTTTTTTTTTTTTTTTTTTTTTGGCTTTGGAAAGTGTTGTTTTTTTTCCTTTTTTTAATCAATTCCCTTTGTTGCTTTGGTTGATTTTGTTATATCATCGTCGTCGTCGTCGTCATAATCATAATCATAATCATCGTCATCGTTGTCACCATCATCACCATCATCTCTCTCTCTCTCTCTCTCTCTCTCTCTCCCTCTCATTTTTAATCTTGTGGACTAGTGCCCTTTTCTATCTAGCCACAGATCTAATTACTTACATGGTTATCAAAATCCCGATCTGGATCATAGGATCTTACGTTTCTATGATCTTAGTTGGGTCAAACAATCTGGATCGCACTAGGATCTTAAATTCAGTAAGATTTTAAAGTGACTACGATCTTAGTCATAAAATCTTGTAGAATCGTACCACAATCTAGATTCTACTATGATCCCGATCTTACCAATTTTTTTCGTATCATTTATTTCTTATATATGTATTTATATGTGTATATCTGTATGAGAAATTTTATTATAAACTCTTCCAAACATATCTTCTAATTTATGTTAATATAAAAAATGCATTGTATAAAATTTATTATTTTTTTTAAGGATTTTAAAATTGGTTAACATACATTATCGTAATTGATAATTTTTCATTTTATTTTGCATTGAAAGTAGAATTTTATGATGCTTGATTTGATTCTATGATCTAATCCACAAATCCTTCCCAACCTAGGATCCCGATTTTAACAACCTTGATTACCTGACTTTTGCCTTCAATTTTTTTTTTTCTTTTCTTTTTTGTTAAATGGAATTGGGGGAGGGTATCAACTATCGTGTATGGAGGGGAAATTTTGCGATCAATCATAGATTCAAGGACCACATCACCAATGTTGGATAGTGACGGGTGGGTGTCTTATGAGATGTGCTAGTTAGATTTATGAGGGGGTCTTTTTTTGGCTCATCTGTATGTGCTGTTATTACTATCACTACTGCCATAAGCATCTCACACACCACATTACCATCACAAATGAACACAATGATGATTTGCATTTGCTGCTTGTTTTTGAGCTCTTGTTTTATTTTTCTTCATTCCATACCACAATGTTAGATATCTATATTCCTCCCATATTCTTCTTATTATTTTTTTAGTATATTTTACTATTTGAAGAGTTAGTCATTTGGATGGTTTGCTTTACTTTTAACAAAAAGGTATTTAGATTAGTATTAGCCATGTTTATAATGTGATTTGGGGCCTTTTTTGGTTGTAATTGTTGTAAGTTTAAGTCTTCAAAGGATGATGTCAACCAGTTTGTTTGCTTTTGTGCCTCTATGGTTGTAGGGTCGGTGTGGGGTGTACATAAGTGCACATGTAGTGGTTTTATCATTTTGAGAATTTGAACATTGATTTCATTTGCAGAATTGTACTTATGTAAGAGAATATTTCATCGTACATGTGATTCTTTCTAAATTTGCAACCCACACCATGTGATGTCCAAGAGCTTGGCATTGGAGTTTTTGTGCTTAATATGTTACCTAATTTCAAGGCATCTTAAATGTGAATTCTTGAAGTTCTTTGGAGCTGACAACCTCTGGAGGATGGCTGACAATGAATTAATTCCAAAGTTGCTTAGGATGACAAAGTAATTTTTTTTGTAAGTCATTAAATCTATTATTGCAATGCCATCCTCTAGGTTATCATCTTGTAGAGGATGGCTGACAATGAATTAGTTCCAATGGTGCTTAGGTTGACAAAGTAATAGTTTTTGTATCTCATCAATTTTATTGCTGCTATGCCATAATCACCATAAATATTGGGCTTGTTTGGTTTGTGTTTGAGAAATTTTTTTTCTGAAATATGCTCTACAAACACATTTTTGGGAGTAATCAAACTAAACAGATTTTCCCCAAAAAATTCTCAAAAATGTGTTTGGTTGACTTTTTCCAGGATCACTTTTCAAAAAAAATTCTCAGAAATCCGTTTGGTTGGTGTTTTTGAAAAAAATAAAATAAAATACAAACACCGCCAATTAAAAAAAAAAGTGTGTAAAAGAAAATTCAGAATTTGGGAATCTCGTTTAAAATTCCATTTGTCCTGGATAAGTTTCACTGTATCACAGTTTCTAGTCTTTCAAAAGCCTATTCACTTGTGAACATTTCCTGATGACGCCCGCATTTCCAGATTCGTTATGCTGTGCATCTCCCATCAGTATTGAAACACATTACCTAGACATTTTCGGGAAGGAAGAAAGTTGGTGTTGTGGGACGGACAGGGAGAGGGAAATCAACCCTCATACAGGCCATTTTTTGGATTGTTGAACCATGAGAGGGGAGCATTATCATCTTTTTTTGTCGATATTTCGAAGATAGGACTTCATGATTTGAGATCAAGGCTTAGCATCATACCACAGGACCCAACGATGTTTGAGGGTACAGTTAGAGGAAACCTTGACCCACTAGAGCAATACTCTGACAACAAAATATGGGAGGTAGATATTGGCCTTGTAAACATTACATCAGTTAGCTATAATCATATGAGTGCAAATTGTTGCACTACATTTTTATGTTGTCATTAACTACTGTATTAGTCTACCTACTCAAGGAAAAAAGAATTTCCACAAGAAAAATTATTACATTGGTCTGGCTACTAAAGGAGCTCAGTTTAATGGCATGGCTCAATGACAATGATTAAATGATCAGCTAAAGTTTTGGCATGAAACACACCGTGATTGCAAATCCAGCCGAAGAGACTACCCCATGGTTTCAAAAACAACTACCCCATGGTTTCAAAAAACAACTGCCCCATGGTTTAAAAAAACCATAGGTAAACAAACGAACATTAAAAAAACATTCAACTATAGTATCGATACATTAGCCATACATGCAAAACAAACATTAAAAAAACCGTACATCAACTAACAAACATAAAAAAAAAAAAAACTACCACAATCTGTTTCAAAATGATAAAAAAACAAAATAGTACAACATAATTAGTACCGATGGTTGAGCTACCATAATAAAACAAGTACAAGCATTGTTTCAACCACGGTTACTAACATCCTACTTAAGTACAACGACAAACAAAAGTACCAACAAAAGAATCATAATAGTAAAACAAAGAAAAGCGTTGCATCCACAACAAACCCAAAACAACCACTTCTCGCCAGTACGAGGCATTTGCGCAGGTGTAAGATGCTGTACCCCACCATTATAGTCATCTACCCAGAAGAAGGAGCCCCTATGATTATCCCAATTAGGACAACGGAAAAAATAACGACCATGTTTGCCTCGGTGCGAGCCATAATCACCAACATTGGACTAGCACCACATGAACAATTTGGCGTCACCTTCATCTGCATATGGCGTCAAATTAGCAATCCCATTTGAAAATATATAAAATAAAACAATTTATAATGTGAAGTTTAGATACATAAAAAGTGTTTACTGTACAACCACATTGATTAACCTACTTTGATTATGTGGTCCATTTTTTCCAATTACCAAAAAGCATCTACCTAGTTGTAATCTACCTATTGTTGTATGCTTTCCACATAGATGTTGCAACCTCATCTCGCCATTGTCCCATCTGCAATAGTTGTTCACGTGACATGCTGACATGGTTGTGTTGTTGCATAGCTGGTACTCCATCTTCATTTCCGTGGACATTTTCAACTCCGACTTCATCTTGAACTTCACTTGCACCTTCACCTCCACCTTCACCTTCATCGTCGTCTTCTTCACTTGATTCTTCCACATCGAAAAATTCATCCTGCTCTTGCACCGTCCGGATCCAATTGTGGAGAACATAACATGCCATAACAATTGGCCCTTGCCGTACCATATCATACCGTGGCATATGTTTCAATAATGGAAACCATTGCTTCAACACTCCAAAGGTTCTTTCTATAGCATTCCTCAAAGAAGAATGTCTATGGTTGAACAACTCCTTTGGACCATGATAGCGACGCCACCTATTGAACTCCTGCAAATGGTATTTTTGGCCACGATATGGGGCTACGTACTCGGGCATGTGTGTATACCCGGCGTCAACGAGATAATACTTGTCTACAGTAAAACACTTTCAGTAAGAACAAATAATGGCATATTTGGTGATCACAAAAAGAAAATACAAAATTTAAAAAAACTACACCTACTAGGTGGCGGGTGTGGAAAATCAGCGGTAGTTGTGGTAAGTGCTTCTAAAAAAATTCTTGAATCATGTGCACTACCCTTCCAACCAGTATATACAAATGTAAACTTCATGTCAAATGAACATGCAGCCATGACATTCTGAGTAGCTTTCACTTTTCTACCTCGATATGGCATTTGGTCACCTTCTGGTGCCACAACAGCAATATGTGTGCCATCTATGGCCCCTACACAGTCCTACATAACATAAATTTTGAATGCTTTTAAGGAACCAAAATTGGCCAACCTTTTGATCCTTTGGTGTAGTCATGTCATGTCATGTCATGTCATGCATGTAATGTACTGTACTTATTGTCACAGCTATATTAGATCACGAACATATTCATTTCATCGTAACTTTCAATTGATTTATCAATTTAATCTTCAAGCCATATAAAATAATTCAAATCAACTGGCATTTATGTTACCTTAAACCATGGCCAGTACCGTCTGTCATTCCGAATTTTAGGATGGGTTATAGCCATGTTCGGTGGTTGGATTACAAATGACGCAAGATTTCCCAACACCCGCGTCATAAGTACGAAATGTTGATGAATTGTCTCATTCGAGTGCTGAAATCGATCTCCAGCATTTCTTGTGCCTGAACTTTGACCACAGATAAATAAAAACATTGCCAACGACTCTTCCAGTGACAATCTCATGTTCGACCAGTCTACAACATTTCTACGGACAATCTGTTTAACCAATTCCATAAATGTCATGACTTCCATACGCAATTGGTTACGGATTGATTTCGGATTTCCACTTACTAAGAATTTTATATACTGCTCACCGGTGTATGGACAATTTTATGTACTAAGATGCGAAGTTATCCATACACCGGTGAGCAGTACATAAAATTCTTAGTGAGTGGAAATCCGAAATCAATCCGTAACCAATTGCGTATGGAAGTCACGACATTTATGGAATTGGTTAAACAGATTATCCATTGAAATGTTGTATACCATTTGCAGGAGTTCAATAGGTGGCGTCGCTATCATGGTCCAAAGGAGTTGTTCAACCATAGACATTCTTCTTTGAGGAATGCTATAGAAAGAACCTTTGGAGTGTTGAAGCAATGGTTTCCATTATTGAAACACATGCCACGGTATGATATGGTACGGCAAGGGCCAATTGTTATGGCATGTTATGTTCTTCACAATTGGATCCGGACGGTACAAGAGCAGGATGAATTTTTCGATGTGGAAGAATCAAGTGAAGAAGATGAAGGTGAAGGTGGAGGTGAAGGTGCAAGTGAAGTTCAAGGTGAAGTCGGAGTTGAAAATGTCCACGGAAATGAAGATGGAGTATCAGCTATGCAACAACACAACCATGTCAGCATGTCACGTGAACAACTATTGCAGATGGGACAATGGCGAGATGAGGTTGCAACATCTATGTAGGAAGCATACAACAATAGGTAGATTACAACTAGGTAGATGCTTTTTGGTAATTGGAAAAAATGAACCACATAATCAAAGTAGGTTAATCAATGTGTTTGTACAGTAAACACTTTTTATGTATCTAAACTTCACATTATAAATTGTTTTATTTTATATATTTTCAAATGGGATTGCTAATTTGACGCCATATGCAGATGAAGGTGACACCAAATTGTTCATGTGGCACTAGTCCAATGTTGGTGATTATGGCTCGCACCAAAGCAAACAATGGTCGTTGTTTTTTTCGTTGTCCTAATTGGGATAATCATAGGGGCTCCTTCTTCTGGGTAGATGACTATGATAGTGGGGTGCAACATCTTACACCTGCACAAGTGCCTCATACTGGTGGGAAGTGGTTGTTTTAGGTTTGTTGTGGATGCAACGTTTTTCTTTGTTTTACTATTAGGATCCTTTTGTTGGTACTTTTGTTTGTCGTTGTACTTAAGTAGGATGTCAATAACCGTGGTTGAAACAAAGCTTGTACTTGTTTTATTATGGTAGCTCAACCATCGGTACTAATTATGTTGTACTATTTTGTTCTTTATTATTTTGAAACAGATTGTGGTAGTTTTTTTTTGTTTGTTAGTTGATGTTCGGTTTTTTTAATGTTTGTTTTGCATGGCTAATGTATCGGTACTATAGTTGAATGTTTTTTTAATAAAACCATGGGGTAGTTGTTTTTGAAACCATGGGGTAGTATCTTTTAGTAGCCAGACCAATGTAATAATTTTTCTTGTGGAAATTCTTTTTTCCTTGAGTAGGTAGACTAATACAGTAGTTAATGACAACATAAAAATGTAGTGCAACAATTTGCACTCATATGATTATAGCTAACTGATGTAATGTTTACAAGGCCAATATCTACCTCCCATATTTTGTTGTCAGAGTATTGCTCTAGTGGGTCAAGGTTTCCTCTAACTCTACCCTCAAACATCGTTGGGTCCTGTGGTATGATGCTGAGCCTTGATCTCAAATCATGAAGTCCTATCTTCGAAATATCGACAAAAGAGGATTATAATGCACCCCTCTCTTGGTTCAACAATCCGAAAAATGGCCTGTATGAGGGTTGATTTCCCTCTCCCTGTTCGTCCCACAACACCAACTTCCTTCCTTCCCGAAAATGTCCAGGTAATGTGTTTCAATACTGATGGGAGATGCTCAGCATAACGAATCTGGAAATGCAGGCATCATCAGAAAATGTTCAAAAGTGAATAGGCTTTTGAAAGACTAGAAACTGTAATATAGTGGAACTTATCCAGGATAAATGGAATTTTAAACGAGATTCCCAAATTCTGAATTTTCTTTTACACACTTTTTTTTTAATTGGGGGTGTTTGTGTTTTTTTTTTCTTCTCAAAAGAACCAACCAAATGGATTTCTGAGAATTTTTTTTGAAAAGTGATTCTGGAAAAAGTCAACCAAACACATTTTTGAGAATTTTTTTGGAAAAATTTGTTTGGTTTGATTACTCCCAAAAATGTGTTTGTAGAGCATATTTCAGAAAAAATTTCTCAAACACAAACCACACAAGCCCCACATCTTTTGTTATTTTGATGCCTCACCTGTACCTTTATTTTTTTTTAACTGTAGACAATGTTTGTTTTGGCATCTTAAGCAATTCCTGCCTAGTCTGCAACCTAGAATCTTAATTCCGCTATAAAGCTCACCTCTCTACATTGTCATCCAACTCTTGTTTTCCCTTTTGTTTGGTTGTGCTCAAAAAATCCATTGCCACAGAAATAAGGATAAAAAAATAATTGATATTTTTCTTCTTCTTCCTTTTGGAATGTTTGAATCCCTCTTTCTTCCAGTACAAAGAAACAAAGTTTTTGAAGTTGAATGCATAACGGGAGGTGTTTTACCCATCATGAGGTGAAGTGTAAGCCTTGAGGCGTAAGCATTTCAAAATTTTATATTTAGTAAATAAATAAAATATTCTAAAATAGTAAAAATTAAATGGTAAAGTATAAATGCTTTTTCTCTTCAAGCGTTGAACATTTCATTGCAAAGAAGGGAATTTGCCTGTGCTGAATGTGAAATCGACATTCTTAGCTTTAGTTATTGAGTTTCTTACTTGAGCCTTAGCTTTTTGTTTTTCCTTGATTGGTGATTTACTTTATTTGTCCCATGAAATATAGTTACAAAAGAGTTATTATTATTATTATTATTATCTATTTATTTATTTATTTTTTTAAACCATGTATTAGACTAAGTTTAACAACCACCCAAGACAGGCTCTCTATATGTGTACTCCTTGTATACAAAAGGCATACAAGGAGCACCTGGAATGTGTTGCACAAGAATTTGGAGACTGTTGCTTAAAAGTCAAAGCATCAATGCGTTTTGCCTTAGGCTCACCTCGAGTGGAGCTTCAATAATGCCTTTTAAAGCTTTGCAAAGAAGTTAAATGGTGTGGCTTTTCATATTTCTTGTTGTATTGACCTAGAGAAAAAAATAAAAATTAATTAAACAAGATAGTTCTTGTTATTAAATCTGATGTAGATACATATGATGTTTAACATTTAAAGTTGGTCTTAGGATGTTATTTGTTGGAATGCGTGTTTTATTGTTCATTAATTTTTACTATTCATAGAAGTTACCCTCATTCTGGCTTTTGTTTACATTGGTTTTGGATAGACAGAAACTGTTACTTTGCAATAAATGGCGGATTCAATTCCTGATGGTTGGCATGAAGAAAATGAAATTGGTAAAAATGGTAAAGAAATTAAGGTAATCTAGCATCTTCATCTCATTCTTTTAATGCTTTTTGTTTTTTTTTTTGATATTCAGATGTATTGTTAACTGTAAGTCATCATTTTTCTGTTTATGTTATTGGAACTAATGTCATAATTATGAACTTCCATTTTCTATGACTGGTTTCCCAAATATGGCTCTTACTTGAATTTACCAAATTTAGTTACAAAATTATAGAAGTTTGTGTTCAACTCTTGAATTTTTAACATGATTAAGTTCAAACAACATGTAGATAAGATGAGTGTTGTTGAGATGAGGATACTAAGGTGGATGTGTGGCAAGACTGGAAAAGACAGAGTTAGGAATGAGTATATTTGTGAATGTGTATGAGTAGTACCAATAGAGGACAAATTGAGAGAGAATAGATTGAGATAGTTTGGTCATATACAACGGAGACCAATAGAGGCAGCAGTGAAGAGATGCGATACAGTGATAGTAGAGGGAAGTGTTAGGGGAAGGGGGCAGACCTAGATTTACCTATTCAGGAGGGCGGTTACACTTGGTCCAATGGTTAGCAGTTGTCTCGTATTGATCGTTTTCTGATGTCTGGGGGTTGGGAGGAACATTTCTCAGAGGTTGTCCAGTTACGTCTTCCTCGCCCAGTATCTGATCATTGGCCCATTGTGCTTGATAGTGGGGGGATTCGTCGTGGTCCCATGCCATTTCGCTTTGAAAACATGTGGCTGCAAACAACAGGTTTTCTAGATTTGGTGCGTGGTTGGTGAAGTAGTTATGTCATTTCTGGTACTCCTAGTGGTGTGTTGGCCTATAAATTGAAAATACTAAAGGGAGATTTGAAGCGATGGAATAAGGAGGTGTTTGGTCGGTTAGAGGGCCAAAAGGCGGAGGTGGTGTCTTTACTTCAAAATTTAGATGAGTTAGAGATGCAAGGGGGTTTATCTCCTGATGATCGTGTTCGGAAGGAGGCGGCTAGATAGGATTTTGTTCGTATTGCTCGTATGGAGGAGGTATCTTTCAGACAAAAATCTAGATGTTTGTGTTTAAAGGATGGGGACCGAAACACGAAATTCTTTCACTAAATGGTGAATGCACATTGACGGGTTAATCAGATTAGTAGGATGTGTGTGGATGGTCGCGCGCTATGTACTTACGTGGAGATTCAGGGAGGGGTTGTGGATTTTTACCAGCATTTGTTTCGCCATTAAGAGGGGGCTTGGCGCCCCGGTTTGGATGGGGTTCAGTTTGATATGTTAGCCGAGGTGGATAGGGAGGTTTTGGTGTGAGCTTTTATGGAGGAGGAGGTGTTTGGGGCTCTGCAGGCTATGAGTTGGGATAAAGTCTCAGGTCCAGATGGTTTCTCAATGGCTTTCTTCCAGCATTGTTGAGGCGTGGTTAAGGGTGATGCGATGGGGACTTTGGAGGCGTTTTTTGTGTCTGGTCAATTTGAGAAAAGTTTTAATGCGATTTTTTTGGTTTTGATCCCTAAGAAAGGGGGGGCTGAGGATGTTCGGGACTTTAGGCCTATTAGCTTGCTGGGGAGTGTTTATAAATTATTGGCTAAAGTTCTTGCAAATAGACTTAGAGGTGTTTTGCCTTCTGTGGTGTCTGAATCTCAGAACGCATTTGTAGGGGGAAGGCAAATTTTGGATGCGGTCTTGGTTGCCAATGAGTGTGGATTCCCGGATTCGGCAAAAGCATCCAGGTTTGATTTGTAAATTGGATATTGAGAAGGCATACGATAATGTTAATTGGGATTTCCTCCTGTATGTGTTGGATCACATGTGTTTTGGGGAGACTTGGTGTCACTGGATCAAGTTTTGTGTCTCGACTGTGCGGATGTCCATTCTGATTAATGGGACTTCAGCGGGGTTTTTCCCGATGCATTGTGGTCTTCGGTAGGGGGATCCTTTGTCACCTTTGTTATTTATTGTAGTGATGGAGGCGTTGAGTAGATTGTTGGCTGGAGCGATGCGTGGGGGTTTATTGGAGGGTTTTGTGGTGGGATCGTTGTCTGGGGCTTCTGTGGGTGTCTCTCATTTATTATATGCGGATGATGCTCTAATTTTCTGTGGGGCTGACGTGGAGTAGGTGGGCCATTTGAGATGTGTTTTGTTATGTTTTGAGGCAGTGTCGGGCCTCTTGGTTAACTTGAGGAAGTCCGAGCTCATTCCGGTTGGGGTGGTGGATAGGCTTCCAGTTCTAGCTGCAGTCTTGGGTTGCAGGGTGTCCGTTTTGCCAGTGTCTTATTTGGGTTTGCCGTTAGGAGCTTCATTCAAGGCAACAAGGGTATGGGATGGAGTAGTGGAACGAGTCCAGCGTCGTTTGGCGGGCTGGAAACGACAGTATTTGTCAAAGGGTGGGCGGCTGACGCTAATTAAGAGCGTGTTGAGCAGCATTCCGACTTACTTTATGTTGGTTCATGTTATTCCTGTGTCCGTGGCATCTTGGTTGGAGAAGCTTCAACGGGATTTTCTTTGGGGTAGTGGGGGTGATGACTTTTGGTATCATTTGGTTGATTGGGGGTGGGTTTGTCAATCTAAGCAAACATGAGGTTTGGGGGTGAGGCGGTTGGTGACTTTTAATAGAGCTTTGTTAGGAAATTGGTTATGGAGGTTTGCATCTGAGGTTGATCGGTTTTGGCGGAAGGTGATGGCTTCTAAGTGTGGGGTGGGAAGGGGGAATTGGAACTCTGGGGCCATTTTTATCTCGCATGGTTGTGGGCTTAGGAAAGGGATTTGGTTGGGTTGGGAGGAGTTTTGGAAGTAGGTAGGGTTTCGAGTGTGTGATGGTTTGCGTGTGCGGTTTTGGCAGAGTCTTAGTTGCAGGAATCGTGCAACCAGGTGACGAATCTTCGTAAGAAACGTGATTCGGCGTTTCTTAGAAAGAAACGTGTAAGAATCTCGTTTCTGTAGAGAGAGAAACGCGATCCTATCCAAGATGGGATCGTTGGTGGCTATGAACAAAAACCCTAGCTTGTTGGTCAACAAAGAGAGAGAAGAGAAAGAAGGTGAAGGAGAACCTGAAGGTTGTGTCTGGGTATGTCCTCATTTGCTTCATTTTTCTTCTTCTTTCATCACTTCGAAGGTCATCTCTCTCTCTCTCTCTCTATGTGTTTTTCGTCTCTATTGCAGTTCATCTCTGTGTGTGTGTGTGTTTTTCGTCTCTGTCATAGATCGTCTCTCTCTCTCTGGCAGATCATCTTTCTCTCTCTCTCTCGCAGTTTGTCTCTCTCTTTGGCCTTCTGTCACGACATGTATCTAATATAAGTAATATATATATATATATAAGATAAAAATTATATGTATATTTTAAAAATTAATTGAGACAATTTTAATTATTTTAATGAGCACAAAATATGACATAAAAATAAAAATAAAAAATAGTTAACTTTTGAATATTAATTTTGTTTGATTCTTTTAAGTGATTTTCAAAACTGAGAGAGAGTTTTTATGTACATTAGGGTTGAGCTAGGTCCAGGCATAGTAATGGACCATTCTATGGGCCGTGGTGAAAAGGGCTTAGCAAAGTAGACCTTGTTGTTAGCTCGGTCCAAGTATGGTTACAGTCGCCAGTCGGAGTAGTGATAATTAGCTCGGTCATAGTATTCGGA